TAGATGCCACTAAATCCTGCACACTGGACCTTTCAAAAAGTCTTAAAAAGTCCTAAACCTATTTGTCTTGAGCAATAGGAACCCTGTATAAATTAAATCTTATGTTATTACAAGTACATTTGTATGTAATATGTGCAGAGTAGTACTTTAAGAAATGCCCCAAAGAGTGAGAGCAATAAGCAAACCACTGTGTCATTCTCTCTGGCAGTACCCCCTGTTCTGAGGCCTGAGCTAACCTGTGATAATCTTGTCCAAAAAAACGTATCATAATCCCCTGTATCCCCTGCTCCTGAGCTCCCAAAATGACCCTCAACCCATTCACAGCAACTCTGAGCTCCTAAAACCCCTCATCTAACCTCCATCCGATAAACCTGAAGAGACCAATAGCCCCATTATAGCCTGTTATAGGGGTCAGGGTTATAAGCACCTTCAGCTACACTCCTAAATGAGTTTTATCCTGCAGTTGTATGACAGTCGCCTTTTACAAGGAGCATCAATTTATTTTTCATCATCTTCAAACTTGTTTGTAGTATGAGTAAAACCTCACAGAGCTGCAATCGTTGCTATAGTTACCTTTGTTTTTTTAGGTTTACTGTTCCCTTTTGTGTATTGTGGCTTGATTAATTAGTGTTTTTGTGTATTAAATTTTGTATCATTGGCAAGGTCTCAGGACGCTTTTGGATACAAAGTCATTTAGATAACAAGTTTGTTTTTTAGTGCTACAGTTTGGGATACCTCTCTCATAATTCCATGGAGTCTCACCCTAGATTTTGAGCAATGAATTTTTCATTTTTCCATCACTTTCCTTAATGTGCAGTCCAAATGTTACACATCACAACCGTCCTGGGTCAGCAGGGGCCCCAATCTCTTGAACAATCAACAATTAAACAAGAATACAGAGGTAGGAGAGAGGGAGAGAGGGAGGGAGGAAATGAAAGGAAGGGGAAACAATTCATCGCATTGTGTTTGCCGGCACATGGTCGGACCAGTTTGGGCTGGATTGCCAGAAAGCGGAGGCTAAAAGGAGGCAGAGGGAGAAGAGGTAGCCTGGGAAATGATCAGACCTTGAAAGGCGAGGTCCCCTCAGTTCACAAGGGCCTTGAATCAGACACCCGCCATAATCGCAGCTTCATCACACACACCCACACATACTGTATGTTGCAATGCTGAAGAAGAAAAAGAATGGGGAAAGCAGTGAGCCCTGTGTGAAAAAGGTAAGAGGAAAGGACAGACGAGGATGGTTGAGTCTGGCTTTACAGTTGGTTGTAGTGAGGTGATGCCCTGACGTCAGTTTCTGGAGGTTCAGATTATCAGCTTCAGGAAAAAAAGGCAGCAGCCAACAGTTGGCTGGTAGTGGAGGTGAAAGTAGGCAAATAGTACAGTTGTTTGTGTTGGCTTTTGGCAATTTCACTATCAGGAAACTGTTCTACAGCTTGTCTCTGTGTGATATGGTTGATTGTATTGTTCTCTGAGAGCTGTAATATTTCATTCTGGACCTTTCCATAACTGCTTGGAAAGGCGTCCAGTCTGCATTAGAGCCAGGGGTCACTAAGTTGTGAGGTCACTGTACTGAGAGGAAAAGTAGGATACAGAAATGAGAAAATGGCTTGATTATTTCAACATGTTCTTTGTGATTGGACAGCAGCTCTGCCCCGTGTCATTTGCTGAGCGTTTGAGGGTCTGAAATGAACTTTTCTCACTCCCAACCACTGTATTTGTTTGTCTGCCAATCAGAAATTGTATCCGTCACTTTTAAATCTATGTGCTAAATGAGGGAAAGACATTTAGGTCATGTACTTTATAGAAAGGTGTCATGTAATGTTAAGTATGTTTACAAAAAAGGATCTCATGTGTGGCAAATTCCAGTGTTCAAATCACACAGTGGCTTTTGGGGGAGCCCTGACAGTCAGTACAATTCAATTAGAACAGAGAATATTTAGACTGGGAAAACAAAGACACAGAAAAATAAGTCACTGATGCACTCTTTTGACATCTTGTTTCGTACTCGCACCAAAGGGTTTTAGTTCACAGTCATGGGAGAGTGTGTAAAGCTGCTGATATTTGAATGTAAGAAGCTGCAGTAAGAGTATTTTGGGGTACTTTTATAGTACTTTTCTATGAAAAATGACTCCAACCGATTAGTCAACTACTAAAATAGTCACCGATTATCTTAATGGTTGATTAGTCATCGATTAGTCGACTAATCGTTGCAGCCCTACGGGTGGCGGGTGCTATTTCTCAGACCCTGGGCATGAATGAGCAGTGGTATGCTGTGTTCCCACCAAACGCGATGAATGCAATTTACTCGCTCGTAACGCCAGTAACGCGCCACCCGTAACACGCGAGTTTGGACGCCTGACCATTTTGTTAATTCGCGTTATCGCGTCATTAGCGCAAGCTAAGCTAGTGCTAACGTTCATAGTACAACCATTCTGCAAACTAATTAAAGACACATATTTACAGAACTTACCAAGTAGACCAGTCTCCTCTGCGACTTTCACCCAAGCCTGCTCCTTTTTGTTGCAGTCTCTGTAGAGTAGACACGTAGTATCATATAGCTCCGGGTAGCCACTGACAACCATGGCTGAGATAACCACCATCGCTGCTTTGTACCTGCTCTGGAAGTCCCAAATGCGTCGGAGGGCCAAACGCCGTCGTTTTTGGGTTCACCCTATCCTGCAGAAGCACATTCAGCTCGGTGAGTTTCACCACCTCCTCCAGGAACTCCGTCTGGATGATAGCCGCTTTCAGCGGTACTTCAGGCTGACTGGGGACCAGTTTGAGGACCTGTTGGCGGGGGTTGGCGCCAGGATCTCCCGGCAGGACACCAACTACAGGCGCTCCATTTCAGCTGCGGAGTGTCTGTCCATCTGTCTCCAGTGAGTAGCAGTTTATTGCTGGCCAGTGACGTCGGGAGAATCTCAACGCTGATTGGCTTTCGCGGCACAGCGTCACGCGAATTCGCCTCAAAAGTTCAATATTTTCAACTCGAGCGATGAGGCGTTGGACGCGAATTTCGCGTCTATCGCGCTGCGCTAGATGCCTCTATCACGTCCATTGTGTTCATCGCGTCGCGTGAGACGCGTCCATCGTGCTGCCCGGCGCGAATTCACGTCTAATCGTGTCTTTGCATTGACTTTGTATGTAATCTTGACGAGCGAATTTGCGAATTCGCGTTTGGTGGGAACACAGCAGTAGAATGTAACTAAGTACATTTACTCAAGTGCTGTACTTAAGTACTAATGTGAGGTACTTGTACTTAAGTGTTTTCTTTTCGTAGCTACACGTCAAACTGTACTGTTTCACTTCACTGTAATTATTCGACAGCATGAGTTACTAGTTGCTTTACAAATTAAAATTTTTGCATAAAAAAATAAGGAAGTCTTACAAAACATGAGGTTTTCTTGTAAATTAAACTACCCAACATTAAATACAGGAAGTGTAGCCGAAACTTTGAACGAGTCAATAAAAAATAACAATAATAATAATAATAATAATAATAATTGCATCAATTTTGAAAAAAGAGAGCTGACTGGCTGCTCTGTACATACAAATGTTGATCAAAACCTTGTGTTGCCTGCTTGTGCAAAATGGGAACAAACAGGATTCACAGGAAGTCAATCGAGGCACTCCGAAATTTTGATAATATTTAAATGCTTCCTTTTTCATGCAAAAATATTTCACAGATTGCTTCTTTTCCTTTTTCGTTAATTCAGTGGTTTTAATTATTTTTTATAACATTTTTTACTACTGGTTGGACAAAACAAACATGGTGAATGTGGCACTTTGGGCTCTGAGAACTTGGAACAGCATTTCTCACTATGTTCATAACTTTTGTAAACCAAACATCAATTGATGAATGGAAAAAATAATCAGCAGATAACTGATAATGAAAGTAATCATTACTTCGGCTACAACTACAGCAGTAAAATCCTACTTTAACGTTAGTGCATGAGTAATAATAAGCTATTTTTGATAGTATAACCATCAAAGTACATTTTCTGTATTGTACTTGCATAGTTCCTCCACCACTGTAAGTGACACCCACACACACAGCTCCCTGGTATCTGACACGCATACACACTCAGACTCAAGGACGGCCTTTTTCAACAAGGAGAACGATGATGGAGACTGAATGAGGAATGCCTCTGACTCATCCTGCTCCTTTTGTCAGATCTTTAAAGCTTTTCACCACTGCCGTCAGAGGACTGTGGCATTGGCGAAATCTTTCACTTGCCAATACATTTCCTGACAGAATGACCTGCTGTGATTTGTGGGCGTCATTCAACAACTTTATCAGACAGAGATGAAAAAATAAAAACCTCAAAAATTCATGCTGCACTACTCACATCCCCACCAGTATGTTTTGTTCTTGTTGTGTGGTTTTATGGTCGGAACAAGTCAGCTATTTACACTCCTTTATTATCAGTACATGGATTATGATGCACAAAGCTATTGACTCTGTAATAATGGAAAGATTAACAAAGCAATTGAATCATGGTCAGTGTGTGGCCTGACTACAGTTAATAGCCAAACACCTCCCACCTATTACATTTAGCCAGGGTGAACTGTTGTACTTTGTGTCAGCTGAGTGGCCTTGTCGCCGCTTGATATAAGCCCCATTGTCTCCATTATCTTGTAAAGTCAGAGTGAACTTAAAGCTGGTCTCCTTCCTGAAGACTGCAGTGCACTTGATCCGTCTCTTATTTTTACTATCTCATATCTCTAAAAACATTTTGTGTATTTAAAAAGCTGTCCTGACATAAACCCAACATGACATGGACTCATTAAAGATACAGTTCAAGTTTCCTCTTCATGGCTGGCTATCAATTTTCAAGTGTCATCATAACCTGAGTTAATGTGTTACTCCTTGGTGGTCGTTTCCAAGGAGTATGAGAAACCTTACATGTGCCCATTTGTTCATGTGATCTACATTAATGCCCTTGTAAAATCTGTATTGAGTTCTGATCTCTGTCTGCCCTCTGCTCTCTGTCCACCAGCAGATCCAGTTTGCAGACCAGAAACAGGAGTTCAACAAGCGTCCCTCCAAGATCGGCCGGCGCTCCCTGTCCCGCTCCATTTCCCAGTCCTCCACAGACAGCTACAGCTCAGGTAGATGCTCTCGAACACATTCTCTTCCTGTTGCTCAATCTCAACAGCCCACTTATCAGACACGCCAGTGATTATGACATGATTCCATTGCGACTTTTATGACACCCGAGATATAGAAAGTGTTTCACCTGGAAGAGTAGTTGGCTGAATCTGTTTTTTTTTTTCTTTGCTTGTTTGTATTCTCTGTCTGGTTCACTTCCCGCCTTGTCTCCCTGACTGTCATTCTCAGACTACATCCACACTAATATGTTCATTCTTGTTTTAAAATGCATAACTATTGCTACATTAACACCTAGCGTCCACACTACTCCAGCGATTTGGAACCTCAAAAATGGAGACCTGAAAACACTGCTGATCCCGTTTTCATTCGAAAACTCTGGGATAGCATTTTAGTGTACGGAGACTTTTGAAAATGATGACCCAGACACCCACATCCGCTTCATGATTGGGTCTTGCATCTTACATGTCAAGCCAAAATATAAAAGATCGGTCTACATACCTTTTGTGATTTCATTCTTCTTGTGTGAATACTCCTCTCCCATTGTCATTGCTCCCTCTAGCAAAGGATAATGCTTCCGATACCGCTCTATAGGGCTGTACCCGACTTAGAATTATGTCAGTCAAATCAGATTTGGCTGTTAAATATGAATATTCATCTGTACGTTCCTTTATTTCCATAGAGTTTGAGAGTTTGAATGGAGTTCGGCAGGACGTTCAGGGTTACAGAGATGTTCACATCATACAGTAAACAAGCTGTGTTAGCCTCTCGAGCTAATGCGCGCTAACTATGCTAACTATGGATCAGAAATGTGCGACACTTTTTGCCCACACTAGATATCAAACAACAGCCAGAGACTGTGTCATAAATTCACCACCTCTAAGCCGAAGGCCGAAGATAATGTTATTGCAGAGCTTGACTGGGCACAGCCTCTCCTCCTTTGGGTAGCTGCCTCCGTCTCACTCAGATTCACCCTGGGTCTGGGTCCACAGCTGCCTGTAGCAGAGAGCAGCGTGAAAAAGAGGAGCGCTCACTCTGCAGCTACATCTGGGAATCAAAACATCCCAAGAAGTACACTGCAAACTGACGAGAAAGGGGCAGCCCCACTGCTTTGTAACAAACCCCAATCTGTTTGCCAAGGCCTTGACCATTTTATTCTATATTACCTAGAGTAACAGCTCGCCTAGTTTTCAGTCCAAGCAAAGAATGTCTGGTCTTACTTTTTGCCATTTCCATAAGATTTTCTGTAACTAAGAAACCAACCGCAGAGTAGACAGTCTGCTTCCTTTTTACACAAGCAAGCATGTGTGCAGTTTTCATGCGCGTCATTACAGACAGGTTATTTCTGAAATGCTGCTAAAACACTTGTGTGTATGGAGATTATCTTTTTAAAATGCCATTTTAAAATGAAAACATATTAGTGTGGATGTGGCCATCAGTTTTCTTTGCTTGCTGGTAATTTCTGCCCAGCTCGCCTCTGTCCTTGTCTCTACAGCTGTCATTTGCCCTTTTACACGGAGATCGCACTGTAAGGCCCATTTTGACACAGAGCCAAACATCAGTGGCATCATGCTGCTCCAGTGTGTCATTTTTAGGTAGCATGCTGGCATCCTGGAAACAAATGAGGTGTGACGGGCGTGACATAACAATGTCAGCTTCTAGTGTCACATATAACAAAAGTGTCATTAGCGCTTTATAAACAATAACAGAGGAGTAACATGGCAATAACAATCATTTATCATCTGTGTTATATGGAGGCTGATCTCCTCTGCTTGGAGGGTGAGAAGCTTCCAGACCTCATTGTCTACCCAATTTTTGGACATTTGCTGCTCTTCTTCTTTGACTTAGTTCTCAACTGCTGCTTACTGCTTTTTAAATCTCCCGGTGGTGGGTTGCACACACATGAATTGTCAAAACTACACACCTGTCCCATCCATGCTCCCGTTCTGCAGGCTGTGCCTTTTAGACTGACAGTTTTGGTGCTGTTAGTACCTTCGCTACCAGCTTGAAGTTGAGACAGTTCTGTCCCCTCATTCCGAGATTGCACCTTTTCATACGGTGGCATACTGGTGTGACATTCCCACCTTTAAAGAGGCCGTGTAAAAGGGGCTGTTCTCACACTCTGTCACTGCAGTTCATGTGAAACTGGGGGCTCTGTGTCAGAGGATTAGCTGGTGGTGGTCTGCTGAAGACTGGGGTAAAGAAAGAGGGGAGCGGTGCAAAGTGTTAGGTGTGGTTCAAACTGAAGTGAGTCCCCAGTCCCATTCATGACTGTAGTGGTGTGAGAGAAATGTGTGAATGTTTGTTTAATCCAATATGTAAAGATATAAGAACATATTGGGACAGGATCAGAGATGAGAGAGCACAGTCTGATAGGAATAATCCTGGTCCCCTTTTCCCTGCCTACTGTTTGTCCCTTGTCCCTCTCGTCTTGTCATCACCACGCAAAGAGCCTTCAAACTTGAAGCAGCTTAAGCAGTGTATAAACATTTCCCAACACTCTGCTTTGAGAGGTCCCGCTGTGTGTCAGGGTCATTCGCAGGCCGCAGATCTTCCAATGACACCATTAACGTGATGAATTAATCTGCACTGCTCGGACAGCGTCGCTTCTAGTGGCAGAATATGATGGACAAACAGATGGACGGCAGATGGACAAATGGACTCTCAGTCAGTATTAGTGGATGGTCGTAATGGGCAGGTCAGGGGTGCTAAAAAAATGATAGAGATTATTCAGTACCTACTGAGAAAGGATGAAAATGCTTGGGCCTGTGAGTTCCTGCCGTCACATGTGCAGGTGCCACATGTTTTATAGGCCAGTATCGCCAATTAGGGTCAGCTGAGAAAATGACCTTGTGGTTGTTTTGTTTTTGAGACAAGACCACAGTCATATTTGCTTGAATCTTATATATTTCATATTTTGATTCTTAAATTCAGCTTTGTATTTGTTTTGCTGCTCTAAGTTCAGCATTGGCACACTCAGTGTAGGGTCCCTTTCTAAGGTGAGAGTTGGATTTGTTCCAGTTCTCCTGTAACACACATCTTGTGCTCTGCGTTCTTTGTCTTCCCTTTTTCTTTTTTGCCTCTCTCCTCTCGGCTCTTATTCACGTCACTGCTGCAACCACATCAGGACTCATTAAATCATAGTACCTCCCAAGAACCTTCCTCTCCAGCCTGAGGCTGTCAGATCATGACTGAAATAACGATTTGGATTTTCTTTCCTCGATATTGGGATGGTGATGAGAGCACTTAGTCTGCATTTATTTTATGCAGTGATTTGTCAAGCTCATTTTTCCCTGTGGTGTTGGATCCTTATCTTAACATCTTAACAGCTGCAATTGTAATTGAGTGAAATGTATCAGTGTTGCTAATATTAAGGTTATTTTCAGAAACTTGTACAGCTCTTCTATCTCCCCTTTTGAACTGTCTGTTTTTCTGCCCTTTCTTTTTTTCTGTCCCGCCTCTCTGCTGATTCCCTGTCTTCTCCCATAATTCCCTCACCAGAGTGCCTCTTATTGCTCTGATGGTTCCCACAGTGCAGAGGACACACTCAACACACCAGTAGTACTTTTCCCAAGGCCACTTTTGTGTAGGTTCAAGACACAAGAGCAGCCTCGTCATAAGGGTTCCCCTTACAAAGGAGTCTGTGAAGAGCATAGCAGATACATAACAGACACATATACATACAACATGTTTGTGTTTTGGGAGGATATATGAGAAAAATAAGACATAACAGTTTACATGGCAGTATTGTATCGATACAGTTGTTAAATATGAAGAGTATAGAGTGTAGATTTATATGACCAAAGTTTAAAAGTAGTTCTTACACTTAAAAAGGTGAAATCCACCAATTTTAGACATCAAGGTCCATTTACAGGTCTTGGGGAGTGCCACTGCATATGTGAAAATATTGTGTAAAGCCTTTTGTGACTCTGGAGCGATCACAAATTGCCTTAAGTGATGTCACTTGAGTTCATGTTCACTGGGGCTGAAGACTACAAGTCTAAAAATGAAGAAAATATGGGTCTTCAGGGGTAAAAAGAAGCTTACCAGACCTCTTTGGCTTGAGGATCCAGGCTGCATTAGCCACAAGTAGCATAACAAACCTAAGTCTCTAACCTGAACTGTTGGCGGTCTGATTGCACTGTGGGTAATGTAGGCTTGAGTTTAAGCAGAAGACTGTGTGAAATAAAAACGACAGTACTGTATGCAAGTACAACACATTGCCTCTCTGGGTCTCAACAGTAAAACAATGCTTAAACGTAAATCCGCATTTTTCTATTAGTCAGCAGTGGGCAACTCAAAAAAAGTCCGATTGTATAGTAGTCAATGAGAAAATGACGCTACTCCCCACTATTACCTCAATAAATATTTTGCTATTGAGTTCATGCTCAGGTGGCACGGTGGGGTGGTGGTGGTTAGCACCTTCTGTGTGGAGTTCATGTTCTCCACTTGTCAGCGTGGGTTTTTTCCAGGTACTCCGGCTTCCTCCCACAGTCCAAAGACATGCAGTTTGGGGATAGCTTAATTGGTGACACTTAATTGTCAGTAGGTGTGAATGTGAGCGTGAATGGTTGTCTGTCTCCATGTGTCAACCCTGTGATAGTCTGGTGACCTGTCCAGGGTGAACCCTGCCTCTCGCCCAATGTCAGCTGGGATAGGCTCCAGCCCCCCCACGACCCTCAAGAGGATAAGCGGTTAGAAAATGGATGGATGGAGTTCATGCTCTCTTTCGCTAGTTTCAAAACTGCTTTAATGTAGCATGATGCTCATTGTGTGACTGATGGTTCCATTTGAAGTAAAATAGACCATCCAAATATCATCATTTCTGGCTCTAAGAAAACAAGATGATGACTGCCAAAATGCCAAACATGGGGCATGGACACAAAGTGTTATGTAAGCAGGGCATGACTTTTTTTACCTGCTACACAGACTCTGTCTTTGTTGCATATGGTTGCTGCCAGTTTTACCCTGTATGTATTGAGTTTTGCAGAGTGATAATAAGAGTTGGTTATGGAGGGTTTGGAAGCGTAGACTATATTAACTGGTATCAAATTAACTGGATTTTTCTAAAAACATGATGCATTGATTGATTGATTTGAAAGTGACGTGCAAGAACACAGGCAATGTTGCTCTGCTGCATCATTCTTTAATTCAAAAGGGACCATGTAGAGTTGAAAACCATACCAAATTATAGCTCAGCACTAATTTGCATCTGCAGTCCCTCGGCAGGTCAGAACAAAGACAGCCCAGTAACATAGAGTTGTACACACACACACACACACACACACACACACACACACACACACACACACACACAATACAGAGCTACACACAACAGCACATCACAAGTGAATGCTTGTCAAATTTACAAGTCATGAAGTTCAGATTTCAAGGTCAGTGAGTTCAGAGCTGAGCAGCTTTTAACCTTTTTTTTTTTTTCAAGTTGGTTTTGAAAGTTCTGATAGAGCTGCAGCTCGGCACATCATCAGGCAGAGTGTTCCACTGATTTGTAATTTTTACAGAAAAAGCTGATTGCCCAAATGCAGTGCGACGAAATGGTGCGTCACAGTCTTGTAGAGAGGATCTATAAAACTTCCTGAGCGAGTATTTACCAAGTCACATAATGGAGAAGGGGCCAAACCATTTAGATTTTTTTAAAAATCATCTAAAATTTCCAAAGCTCAGTAGATTGTGTTTCTCCAGTATCCTACTGTGATGACAATGCAGTGGCTTTTCGTCCAAAGTTTTCAAGGTTTGTTGGTATAAGGACTCAAGGGGTCTCGAGGCTGTTTCACCAGCCAGCCCCCCAGCATGTAATGCAACAAGACATGTGTGAAAGGATCATAACATGCTTTAATATCTTGGCTGCATTCAGAGAAGGAAAGTTTCTAATGTGTCTGAAGTTTACCAAGTTATACTGTATGGTTTTCACCGTTTTCTTTATATACTTCTTAAAGTTGCCTCTGGAACAGTGAGGTATTAATTTTAACACAGCTTCCGTGATCAGTGTTGCAGCTTTAGTGTTGTATTTCAGCTGTAAATTCAATACAGTCTATGTGCTGCATTGATTTTTATCCTTGAGTCCAACAATGTTATAGGAGTGCAATGCTAAATCAACGGAGTACTCTTTATAAAGAGATACTTTGCCGATGTTCCACCAGCGCCAGATGATGCAAAATGCAACATTTCTTAGCATCTGGTGACTTTTGGTTGAGGTACAAGGAGCTCGAGCAGGTGTCCCTTAATGCACAACATTTTAGCCTTAAATTAAAAATTGTGAATTTGTAAAAACACTCTTCGTACTGTCCAGTACTTTAAAAATGAGAGCAAGTATTAAGTTTGTGTGGTATGGCTCTTGGAGGTTTCTAAAGTCCTTCACTGTGAATGTTGAAGAGAACAGTCTCTGGCTTTGTCCCAGCATCCTTTTTAACTATCAGTACATCAACCCTCATGACCCCTAAGATCTCCTCGGCTCACACCCTCCCCCACCCTGTCTTCCTGTCAGTACGGATGGGAGATTTTAAAAGAAAACATTAGACTCATGGATTATTACCTTTTTTTCAAGCCTTTCCCCTCCTGGCACAGCACAGGATGTTCTTTAACTTCAGTATTGTTACCGTGCTGGCGAGGCACCCAGCATTATCTGGTACTGGTCCACGGTCATTTTGAAAGGGTTGGTGGGAGTGATGTTGGCAGCATGTATGTGCTTTACACAAGAGGGACCGCACCTGTGCAGTGAGTCAGCCTGGAGCACAGGAACCACACAGTGCTGGTGCCAGACATGGAGGCATCTCATTACTAAGTATGCCGCCGTATACTGTGGGCACCACTGTTTATATCTCCCAGAGGTGCACTGATACCTCTCTGTGACATGTTCCTTTTTTTACATACAAGTGTTAAAACACATTTGTACGGTGTTTACTCTCTACTGCAGTCTGGTATTGGAAAAAGAGACCAGAGCTTTTGCAGACAGCTTTATAATCAATTAAACTCTGTGCTGTGCAGAATCTGTGGCCTACCAAAGTCAAATTGCTGGCTTGGGAAAAATACAGGCTTTATTCACAGTGAAGAAACCAAAGGCACATTGTGTTTGTTCTGCACTTTGAAACCTTAAAGCTCTGAACTGCCTTGTTGTTGAAAGGTGCATACAAATAAGTTTGCCTTGCCTTATTTAAAGTGCGTTACATAAATCATAAAGGCATTGAGACAAGGCATAAAAGAAACATAAGGCATTAGAAAAGATGCATAAATAGGATTTAAAAGGATTAAAGCAAAGTAAAACCCAAAGATTAAAATAAGATACAGTAGAATACAACAGATTAAACGGTAAAATCAACCTCACTTTGCAGTGCAAGACATGAAACAAAGTTGAAGTTAATAAAATACAGCGGCAAACAGAACGTTTTAAGCCCTGACTTTAAAGAACTGAGTCGGGGCAAATTCTCTGAGTTTGTTCCAGATACGTCATGCATACAAACTGAATGCTACTTCCCCATATTAAGTTTCCCCAGACACTGGGGACTGTAAGCAGACTTGTCCCAGACGACCCAAGAGCCATGGACGGCTCAATGAGCAGCAGATTAGAAATGTATTTTGTCCCATTTAGCGAGCAGACATTCAATTCTTGACACGCAGGAAGCCACAGTGTAAAGATCTGAGGACTGCAGCTGCGTGATCCATTCTCCTGGTCTTAGTGAAGACATTCCATGTCCGATAGAAGAAGAAGAAGAAGAAGAGGCGTATAGGGGGTAGTAGAAGTGGGCAAGGACTGTGTCTGTGCCGGGCGTCTTCTGTCTAATGTCTGCACTGAGGCAAGACAGATTTACTTTGTGCTGATTTGAATGGAGATTTGAGATGTGACAGTGCAGCTTAGTGGCATCCATTTACATCACATCCACGTCCTTAATCTCTTGATCTTATATTATTAGAGATGTCAGAGGGAAAGTGTGTGTGTCTGTGTCTTTATGGTCAGCAAGGTTCATGTGACAGAATGTGCCTGGCTGGGATGCAGGCAGACGACGTGGCAGTGACCAGGGGCTGAATTCAGTGCTTCCATTTTATCAGCGAATCCCAAAATTGGTGAGGCAGGGGAGAGGAGAGAGTGACAGGAGGAGGATTTAGGAGACTGATCCATAAGCTGGTTGTCAACATGCTGACATTGAGGCTTTGATGTTTTGTTTTTGTGGCGCTGAGGCCGCTGTGAGTCAGGATGCGTCATCTGAGGCCTGGCGGGTGTCGAAGACTGAACCAAAAAATGGTTCATCGGTACTTTCGGCTGCCCTGAAATGATGCCTGTGTTATATGTAATTGATCCCTTTCAGACCAGAGGTTTTGTTGAGCCATGTGTTGAGTCCTGAGAGTCTGCTGAACCTGTTGATTCAACTGTTGCCTGTTGGCACTGGAGAAATTTGGTATTTTTCAACCTGGATCCTATTTTTCCATGTTACTGTGTCTAAGTGACTAATGGGAACACCAGTTTTTGACACTATTCCAGTATCCAGCAAGAGCCCTGCAGCAGGCAGCGGCGAAACAGGCTGCAATGTAACCACTCTGGGCAATATGCACACTAAATTTGAGTCCACTAAAAGTGCTTGTTTTTGCCACTGACGGGCTCATATTATTATTTTACATGTAGTACAACATTATAGAAAGGAACCCTACAGAGATGGACCTTTTTGTTAAAGAGTAAAACCTCTGTTATTTAACCAGAAATGGCTTTGAAGTTGATGTCGCCAAACCCACCAGACTCCATTTAGATAAACGGTAATTTTAGCATTTATAGAGGCAGCATATATTCACATCTAAGTTGTTGAATTAAGGGTTTATTTCAACCAAACCAGGGTTGGTGATTGTTTTTTTTTTTTCCCTGTGGACTTAGACTGAGATGTGTTTTAACATGATGTAACATGAAAGTTACTCTATTTTTAAATGGAGTCTGGTGGGTTTAGCGATTTTGAAGACTGTTCTTGGTGAAACAAAAAAACAACCTTACTCTCAGTCTCTGTCGGGATCCTTTCCATAATATTGTCAGAAGCTTACAATAATAATCTGAGCCTGTCAGTGGCAAAAAACAAGCACTTTTAGTGGACACACATGATGGTGCACAAATGCCCCAAGTGGTAACATTGCAGCCTGTCAGCAGTCTTGCTTAATACTGGACAAATTTCAAACATTGCTGCTCCCATTAGTCACTTAGACACAAAAACAAGGGGGAAACAGGGTCCAGGTTTAAAAAAACAACATACCAAACTTAACCTTTAAACAGTTCAATGAAATTCAGCTTTAGCACATCTGAGAAAATTTGTCTGTCAGATTTCATAGTTCATTAGACACCATATCCGAATGTATCAGTAGACATCTCAACCTTGGTCTCATGGAGATTTTTTAATGGATCAAGCCTTTTTTCCTGCTTGTAATGTCAGGGTAGTCAATGTAGACAGCCAAAGGCATGTGGACATAAACACAGACCATAGTCAGAGTGTTGTGGAGGTCAGAATACTAGTGCGAATATCCTTGTTTTGAGTATGAGCGATTGTTGTTTCTGATAGCAGAGAAGCACAGTGCAGTCCAGGGCACAGTAGTCTACTACGTTAATGTTTGGATCATTTTAACGTTGTGGATAGCAGATAGCAGAAAGCAGTTCAAAGTTGACAATCGTAACCTTCACTTGTCATAAGTTATCCTCCAGTTGTTACAGGAAACCTCCTCAAAAGTCTTGTTGTTTGAGGGTTACTCATATTGCAACAGGACTTTTCTGTCAATATTTTATCTCGTATATGTGTGTGACATACTGACAATACTGTTTGTTTTATAGCGGCATCATACACGGACAGCTCTGACGATGAGACATCTCCTCGGGACAAACAGCAGAAGAACTCAAAGGGCAATGGAGACTTCTGCATCAAAAACATCAAACAGGCTGACTTTGGACGCAGAGAGATCGAGATCGCAGAGCAAGGTAAACCAAAAAAATGTCAACACTACCTTAAAAAAGGGTGAACTTAAAGGGATAGTTCGAATCTTTATAAGTGGGGTTGTGTGAGATACAGATTTTTTTGGTGGCTAAAATACGTTTTGCTACCAAATCCTGTCCACAGCAGTACATTGCTTAGCTTCCTTATCAGCACTCATGCGTCTTCTCCAAACTGGGGATGTGCTGACAGACATTTACCGTAGGTAATACACTGACTATGGATAAGTACCTCATACAACCCCACTTTAAAAAATCCAAACTATCCCTTTAAGGGTTGGTGGCTGCACGTCAGTAGCAAAGGTTACATTTTAACCGTGATAGCAGTAATACAAACACGGCATACTACATTCAGAGAGTGTTTTTATGTGTGTGTGGCGCTGCTTCCTCCGCACTGATGGGTGGCCATATGTCCCCTGCCACTGCAAGTGAGAACACCATTTAAGAACCAGCACATAAACACACATTACTCCCATCATCTGCTAATTACTCTACAGAACATACAGAGAGACTCAGCTGAACCCTGCAGGCTACACACACACGCAGCATCAGTCACTCCTTCAGCTGGATGAGTCGATGGATTAGCGATGAAGTATTAGCAGGATTAAATGATGGGAATTCCTTAATCATCCATCTGATTATCCACTCATGTGTCCGTTTGTGCGTCTCTTTCAGAGATGCCAGCCCTGATGGCTCTGAGGAAGCGAGCCCAGGGGGAGAAACCCCTCGCTGGTGCCAAGGTGGTGGGCTGCACCCACATCACTGCCCAGACTGCTGTGAGTAGGAATGCAAATCACACTCACTCACAGCCCAAACATAATCTTGCAGCGGCTACAGCGATAAGTTAAACTTTGACCCTCTGCTCCTTAGGTGCTGATGGAGACTCTGTCAGCTTTGGGGGCTCAGTGCAGATGGGCGGCCTGCAACATCTACTCCACCCAGAATGAAGTGGCAGCTGCCCTGGCAGAGGGAGGTGAGACCGGGAGATCCTGCCGCTTTTCTTCTCCCCTGTCTTTCACTTCTTAAAATATTCAGATGCTCTCTTCCCGTCTGCCATGTGTAAAACGCTTCCCGTCTCTTTCTAGGTTTCAGTGTGTTTGCATGGAAGGGTGAGTCAGAGGACGACTTCTGGTGGTGCATCGATCGCTGCGTCAACGTGGAAGGCTGGCAGCCCAACATGGTAGTGCACCTACGTTCTATTTAAAGCTCGCTCAAGCGTCTTTTCATTTTTATATCCAGCCTACAGTCCCTGTTGATGCTGCTGCTATTTTCACCAGACAGCCAGATCTTTTTAAATACAGTCAATCTATTTTTACACTGGGCAGAAGTTCAGGGGAGGATATAGCAAAATAAAACGTGCATTTATTTTTTCCAACCAGAACATGCAGACATGCAGGACTGAACTGCAGAAAGAAGTTATTAGAATCTTTTTATGTACTTCCTACTTCTGAATCTCTTGACTGAACTGACCCTGCAAATAATCTTCAACTTTGAGAGTCAGTGTCAGATATTAACAAGGTTCTTTCTTTATTTTTTTGCTGTCTTCCTCACCTTTACTTATGTATCTTTCCTCTCTTTCTCTCTTCCACTCTGTTCTTCTTCTTCTTCTCTCGCCTGTCAGATCTTGGATGACGGTGGAGACCTGACTCACTGGATCTATAAAAAATACCCCAACATGTTCAAAAAGATCAAGGGCATCGTAGAGGAGAGTGTAACCGGTGTGCACAGGTGGGACTCTCAACATGCACACATCCTGTCTTGCCTTTGTCGTTGTCTCAAGCAGTGTTTTGGTAGAATTTTACATTTCCTCACATAAAAACAAGTTCTCTGTGTTTTAAATGAGAGAATGTGAAAGTAAATCTTTACAGACACAGACATACACTTACATACACACAGTTTCTGGTGTGGTGACATCGCCATCTAGTGGTGAAAAGTATACCACCACTAACAGTGTACTGAAGCTTATTAAGGCATTGTTGTGTACATTAGAGTAGAAATTTCTGTAGCATGTTTGTTTGTCACTTAATGATGAATAATACTTAAATGAATACATGATTAATAGTGGTGTAACCAGTGGTTTAGTGGTAGTTGATGAGGTAGGTGTACCACTAGGTAGATGGGTAGTTACTGAGGAGGCAGTGGGTATACTCTGCTATATATTCCAGTGGCTTTATGGCTGATGGCTGAAAAATGTAAAGGTGCCGGAGACAGGTCCTTGATTTTTAAAACTTTTAATTATTTTATTTTATATTATTTTACTTACCAAAGTAAGATCTTTTTGATTTTGAACAATGATGGAGCTATACCTCAGTGACCCATCTTCTGGGGCAGTGGCTCCCAACCACAGGGTCCAGATTTCTCCACAGTCATCAGTTCAAGGTCCACACAGTTTAATACATTCAGCGTACTACTTGCCGTTTGGTCATGTTGTCAAGCTAGTTTACTGTCTCTGTCAAGTAACTGTCCGTTAATCACTCACTCTACAGCAGGAAACAGCACTTCAGATTGAAGCACTATGCTGGAAATTCACTATATATCAAAATTGTGTGTGTTTTTTACAAACTTGACGCACTTTTGGACCACAACCCACCGCAAAGTGTCTTCTTAGCAGCATATAAAACAAAAGCAGCTCCTTGTAAAATATATTGAGTATTGTGCTCATAAACAAATACAGCCAAAATAATAATAAAAAAAAACATAACACCAGAATTTGGGCTTTTTTTGTGTGTGTTGTGGACAAAGCAGGAATTACAGTCTATCTGAAATGGGCTCATGAAGGAATACTAATGGGGCTCGAATACATTAAGCCTGTTTGTAAAGACAACGTTTGCCACAACAGAATAGGGTCTCATATCCACTGCGATAAATATATCACACGCAGCAGTGATTTCTTTTTTGCCATGTCTGAATCAGTTGGGAATGGCTGCCTAAATGCCGCGGAGATAACATCTCATACATATACATAATGTGTTGGTCCTCATTTTTCTCTAGTTCCACATGTCAACACACTGGAGTGATGTTGATTCAAGGTAAAATGAGTTGACTTGTTTGAAGTGTTTCCACTAATGTAACCTGCAATGGTGTAGCAGAGGTGACATACCATTGTTTTATGATTCACCACTCTGACAGTGAAAACAGTGTCCCCAAACACCAGACCCTTAGGTTGTCAGAGAATTTTTGGTCCCGTAATGGTGTTGCAACCATCTTACAACGAGCTAGCTCACCATAGCTGCCTCCCAGTGTGTCTCAAGGCAGTAGAATGTATTGGTTTGGTGGTGGTAAGGGCAGACAGTATGTTGCCTGCTCCGTCGTGTGGGCTGCCCAGTTGAGAACATTATGTTAAACACAGTTTAAGCTTTATATTTTATTTTCCAAATGTAATAGGATAGTTCAGTGTATTGTTCGGTTTGTACCAAACCGAAAGCCTCATAACGAACAGTTCAGTACAAATAAGTGTATCGTTACACCTCTAATGATAAGACTTAAGTCTGTCTTAAAATGTAATGACTGGTAGTTGAACCTTCACTTAACATGAAAAATGATCTATTATAGGATAACTTGAAATTTTACGCATGTTTCTAATGTGTGTGCTTGTGTGTGTGTCTATGTGTGTAGGTTGTATCAGCTGTCCAAAGCAGGAAAACTATGTGTTCCAGCCATGAACGTCAACGACTCAGTGACCAAGCAGAAGTTAGACAACCTCTACTGCTGCAGAGAGTCCATCTTAGATGGGTATGAAACAGTCTGCTGTTTAACCATGATGAAGGTTTACAAAACAGAATATGTTTGTTGTTTGAGCGTTTAGCGTTGCAGGGCAATTACACCCACCTCCTCTCCGCTCCAAACAGTTTGAATAAATATTCGGCTGCTGGTGAAATAATTGTGTTTCTGTGCTCAGGCTGAAGAGGACCACTGATGTCATGTTTGGAGGCAAACAGGTGGTGGTGTGTGGATACGGAGAGGTAAGGCTGACATTTTCCTACAGGTTCATACACAATGCTTGTTCACTGAGAGACCTGTTTGTTATGTTTCTTCCCTAAAATACAAGTCAGGTGGAATAACATTTAAGCTTTAATAAATCCACTACTGAGACAAATAAGATAATCATTTCCCCTTTTAAGCCATCACATCTTGTAGGGACAGTGTGCAAATGTCAGAGAATTCAGCATATAAAATGCTGTCGTGAAGCAACTTTATTAATAACAAAAAGGTCACTGGAAAGCTTTGTGCACATAGAAAATCTGCATGACTGTAGCAGAGACTAGCTGCTGTGGAGAACTTCGGTTAGAAATTACCAGAATTTATCATATTTTGACCAGCTTTTCAGTATTAAAGACTGCCAAGGCTCATGGTTTGCTACCCATACATGCATAACTAAGCAAGCAATTAAAACCTTAAACCACTTGTTGATTTGTGATTGCAAATATTCTCTATAGAGAATATTGCTAATCACGTTCCTTAATAAAAATACTTATTCTGAAAAATTGACTTAGTATCTCCAAATGCCTACTGTTGCTGCTTCCTCTGCAAGCTGATTTGCAACCTGCCTCCACCCCAGCTCCTCCTTTTCATGCTGTGTCTGACTTATCAATGTCATTTCTGTTTGTCAGTGATTCTGCACTGTTCTGTTCCTGAGGGGTCTTTGCTGCTGCTCTCCCTGCCTTAGGCTTTCCGTGTAGGTGCATGGAAGGGCAGGGAGGTTTGCTCTCTCCGCCTCAGGCTTTCCACGTAGGCACACAGAAGGGAGTAGAGCTGTGCTCTCTCTGCTTTAGGCTTTCCACGCAGGCACATGGAAGGGCGGAGAGATATGCTCTCTCCACCTTAGGCTTTCCACATAGGCACACAGAAGGTCAGAGCGGTGTGCTCTCTCTGCCTTAGGCTTTCCACGCAGGTGCATGGAAGGGCAGAGAGGTTTACTCTCTCTGTCTTAAGGCTTTTCACGTAGGCACACAGAAGGGCGGAGAGGTGTGGGCGGAGAGGTGTGCTCTCTCTGCTTTAGGCTTTCCACGCAGGCGCATAGAAGGGCGGAGAGATATGCTGTCTCAGCCTTAGGCTTTCCATGTATCCACATGGAAGAGCAGAGAGGTTTGCTCTCTCTGTCTTAAGGCTTTTCACGTAGGCGCATGGATAGAGGCTTTCTGCATTGGCCCGAGGAGAGGCAGAGAGGCCCCAGAACAGAGCCATACCGCCAAATATAATACTGCAAATGGAAAAAAAGTTTTCTTTGACTCAAGTGTTCCTTGCTGAAATAATGACAGACCTTCTCAAGAAAATTAGTTGTCTCAAAAAATAAATTATCTAAAAGATAAAAAGAGAGAAATATTCTCAAAATAATGACATAGTATTTCAAAATAATGATAACGTTTCATCAAATAATGACCTTTTCCAAAATAGTGACTTAATATCTTATAAAATGAAGAAAAATTGTTTTGAGAAAATTTCTCATTTTGTTGGAATACTGTGTCATTTTTTGAGGTACTAAGTCATTATTTTGACCAAGTTTCTTGTTATATTGATTTACGGTATCTTTTTGTCTCCACATTGGCAGAAATGGACTTCCATAGGTAATTAATGCAATTTGGGGAAAAAAGTGTGTTTAAAGGGAAGATTAAAAACAAGTGATATAATAAACATATCATTAGTAAGCCAATTGCATCGGACTCCACCAGCCTTAGTCAGCGGTAAAGCCTGACCACCACCTGCTGCTGTGATTGAGAGTACTTTAAAACTAGTCAAACAAGCAGGGAAGTCACAATGGCTAAAAATAATTAGTAAATGGTTACAAACCTGCCGTTGTTCTGTATGATATCATCCCGTGTCTGTCATACTCAGGTGGGGAAAGGCTGCTGTGCTGCTCTCAAAGCAATGGGCTCCATCGTCTACGTCACAGAGATCGACCCAATCTGTGCCTTGCAGGCCTGGTAAGACTCCGCTTGTTGAGCTTCTCATGGCTAACTGCAGGGGTTTGACGTCGCAGTGGTCTCATGTCATCATTGTCTTAATCACAGCATGGACGGCTTCAGGCTGGTGAAACTGAACGAAGTCATCAGACAAGTGGACATCGTCATCACCTGCACAGGTTGGTTCAGCCACTGTCGGTGAAGTTGAAAATGCATAAGAAACATACAGCTCTGTCAGTGTTCCTGCAGGATGACTGGACAGATTTTAAGTCATTGTCATCAGAGTCTAACAGTCACTAATCAAGCTCTGAGCTCAGCAGCCGGGGAGTCGTCCTGAACACTTAATTGGAGCAGAGAATTACTTGTCTCTCTGCTTCATTACCTAATACTGCTGGCAGGCCTGAAGCAGAGGGCTCTCTTAATAGTGACTGCAGTTAAACAGAAAAGATAATAAGAGGATAATAAAGTAGAAGGAGGCGCATGGCATTTCTGTAAGACTTTCCCAATTAAGTTACAAAGTGGTGTAGAATAAATAAAGCAGGACTAGCATTAGCTTTAATAAGGTCATGTAGTGGTAGCTCCACTAAGGTCGACTCATTAGAGCCCTCGCAGCAGAATTCAGAAAGCTGTGTGGATTCCTAGTGAATTAATAATGCTGCCGTAGTGAAATACGGGCAAAATTAGTCTTCAGTTGATTTGAAATATAATAAAATCTGCTGAGAAATCATACATGAAATTATTCACACCCTTTGAAGCTAAATACAAGTCATCCTTTGGCATTTTCCCGGTTTATAAAAATGTAACTAGTGTTCCACGTGTCTGCACTACCCAGACAGGTGGAGCACTCCAACTTAATCACACCTTTAGACATAATTAACTAGCCTAAATGGTGACATGAGAGGTAATTAAAGCCTCATTTTACAGAAATGGATATAGACTCAGTTCCCAGATTTCCCATATTTGAATTTAGAGCTAAATCCAGTCCCTTTTCAACATGTCATTCAATTAAACTTCAAGAACACTCTTTTTTTGTCTCTATCTTTTTGTCTGTTTTACATTTTTGTTTTCTCTCTGTTTTAATCTCTCGCTTTTTGTTCATTTGTCCTCATCTCTCTCCCTGATATTAATCTTTCTCCGTTCATCAGGCAATAAGAACGTGGTGGTGAGAGAGTACCTGGACCGCATGAAGAATGGCTGCATCGTCTGCAACATGGGGCACTCCAACACTGAGATCGATGTGGTCAGTTACCAGTTTGTATTAACGTGTGAAATTTTCATCTGAAGATGCATCAGGAAAAAAAAAGGAGCTGCATGAAATCACATTATGCATTGCTAGAAGGTCCCTAGTTACTATTTACCTGAGAAAAATTTAAGTGACTCATATCAGTCTTATGTGATTGAAAAGGAGGAGACACTAAGACACATTTTCCAGTACAGGAAAAAACCCACTGGACTCAATGAGTAATGTGCAACTTGTTAGAGAATATACACCATCAGTCTATCTTCAAACCCTCTACAAAACTTTAACGGCACCTTCAACACCAAACGAGACGGAACCATGCCTTTCCAGTTGCAGGACCTGCTGTTATAGTCATTGTCAGCATTGTAAAGTTACCATTTGCTCTAGCGGCTTTGTAGCTAGCTAGCCAAACATTAACGCAACTCATACATTGGCTACATCGTTTTATTGAAACTAATATGTTTTTGTTAACTGCTGTCAATGTTTAGCTGTCTCCTCCTCTCCTTTCTTGCTGTCACAGTAGTATTTTCATATTTCTTCATCACTTCATCCGCAGTTAGTTTCGCTGCAAGATGACTCGCATTAATTTTGTGCATTACTTCTTGCTACATCTTCTGATTGCTGTTTGGCTGGATTAAATTCACTTTGGATTATGTCCTTGCGTTTTATATATTCTTCTCAGTCTAGTTTGACTTTCTTTTTGTTTTGTATTCTCTTCGTTGTCCATTTTGGAGAAGCTAGCTAACACAGACAATAATGCTGCCAAGTAACGTAGAAACTGTACTATGCAGGATTATCCAAAAAACAATTTACAGACTCATACTAGAGGAATCCCTCTCAATCATCACTTATAACTCACTAGAAGTATGTGGCCGTGTATTCATCAGCAGAGACCCTGCCCTCTGCCTGTATTTCTTTTTATTTTCTTCTTATTTTGCTGTGGTCAGGATGTTCATGGGTACAGCGAATAGCTGAAATCAAGACTTTACAAAAAGGCAGCTGCGGACACAGAGGCAAGTAAACGCAAATAAAGCAAGTTGAAACGCCAAGGGGACAAAGCTCGTTCTAAAACTAGAGTGAGTCTGTGGTTGACTTTTTACTTTCACTTTTGCTGACAATGTTTACTAATGGTAACCAACAATATCGGCATAGTGTACCCCTAAAGAATGAGATGATGTGAGTGAAGCGTAACCATGGTAACCCAAGTGCACGTGCTGTATTATGACACTAACTACCGTGAAAGCCTTAGTCTTGACACTTTGGCATGGAGACAACATAAGAGCCTTTCGTAACGATCCTAAATGAAGCGCTCAGCTCAGGGAAATATTTTGCATAAGGGGATAAACTTAAAGGTAGTTTATGCAACTGGGAGGGCACTGACCTTGGGCAGTGACTGTTCAAGGTTGTCACGGTGACTGAGGTTTTAGCTTGAGTTAGTGGGGTTACTGTAAAATGCTGTAGTGATCAGAATCAGGCTTCTAGACTCCCTCTGTGATCAGTTTGGTCGATGAATCAGTTTAAACCATTACCTTATTTCACAACTATCTTTACCACTTTGACCTTTAACGGTCCCTTAATAAAGGTCATTGCTTTGTGACGTTGTTAGAACAGCTCAGTTCTGAAGTAAACTAACAAAGAGGTTCAAGCTTTTTACTCACATGCTCATCAGTGTCTTATTTTGTAATGCAATAAAAAACACCGACATTAATATCATCCCATAATATAAAGCACAAAGATAAGGGGTCATGGTGAGACAATAAACAGTGAGACAGAAGCTTGAGGGGAAAAATGTAAGAGGAATTGAATGTTTTTATTAAAGAGACAGCAATCAAGGAAGCAGTTCAGACACTAGAGGAAGTTGTGACTCACTTCTTAAAGTACCTCAGTGCTGGAAAAGACCAAACACACAATGAGTCAACTTCTGGCCCGTGATGGCTGATGGATGACAGCTCAGCTCAACAGAAACAAGAAGTCGGGAGGGGGGGGGACAACAACTACGACTAGAACCAAAAACAAATAATTGCTCATGATGTTGTGCTCATCCTGTAGGCCAGCCTGCGGACTCCTGAACTGACCTGGGAGAGAGTGCGCTCTCAGGTGGACCACGTCATCTGGCCTGATGGCAAGAGGATAGTGCTGCTGGCTGAGGTACACACACACTGGCTCACGCTGCATCACACACACACACTACTACTCAGTAGAGGAACTTTAAAATTCAGAGTTTATGTTTATGTGTGCGTGTGTGTGTTACAAGCTGTGACAGAATGAGAGCAGTCTGTCAGGGCCAGACAGACAGACTGCCAGCCCGTCAGTGCCTTTGTCTCTGCTGCTGTTTGATCTCCAGCAAGTTTTAACCACATCAGGACACCAGCTCCTCACCTCTCCCGCCTCCATCTGATCCAAAATATTGTTGTGTTACAAAAAAGACATTTCTTAAAAGAAGTAACACTTAATATCATCTTTTAGTATCTCTGAAATAAAGAGAATTTTAGATAGGTGGTTTTCTTTACTTTGTCATTTCTTTTTGTTTCATAATTGTTTTACAGTCTAATACTAATGTAGAACTGTACACATTTATTTATACAAATTCATGATCTGTGATTGGGTCTATTGATAAACCAGAGAGAGACGGGCCATGCAATCAGGTTTTGTCAGCCAAGACACCGACTACATTTACATGCACAAAATATTCTGGTTTTGCCCTTACTTTGATAAAGACAATATTCCTACATATTTGTTCTTCCTGTTTACATGCAGCCATGCATACTCCAATTAAGGTGCCACAACATGTCGTTTATGATGTCAAATATGGAAAACAGCTGCTTGTGTGGCAGCTGTGGCTCAAGAGGTAGAGCAGTTCACTCGACTCCACTAATGAAAGAATCGGCGGGCTAAACTCCGGCTCCTTCAGTCAGCATGTTAAAGTGTTCTTTGGCAAGATACTGAACCCCAAATTGCTCCCAACAAAAAACTGGGAGTGTGTATGATTGTTTAAACTGAGTAGCACAAGGGACCTTGTGTGGTGGCCTTGGCAGCCAGTGTATGTATGTGTGTTTGAATGGGGGAATGTGACATGTAGCATAAAAGCACTTCAAGTGGTCGGTTGACTAGAAAGGTGCTATGCAACTATGCAGAGTTTCCGACGTGTGGCAGCCTTTTTCGACCGTGCGAACACAGCGTCCCTCTTTCATTCCTTCAGTCATCAGTTTTTCGTCGGCCTTAAAATATTGGCCCATACCCAAAAACCTGTTAATATTCAAGTTATTCATGATGTTAAAAAGTAGGGCTGTTTCTTCCTCAGACCAGAAATGTGGGCTTTTCTTTGGGCATGCACCTCTACCACAGACCAAACTGTTGATTAGTTTGTGTGTGTGAAACGTATCCATGACAACAGGTCCAAACAATGCTCCAAAAACAAATCGGCATATCCAGTATGTCAGTAGGTGCGGAATAAGGCCTAATTCTGTTGGGGGTCACAGGTGGGCTGGAGCCTATCCCAGCTGACACTGGGCGAGAGGCAGGGTTCACCCTGGACAGGTCACCAGACTATCACAGGGCTGACACATAGAGACAGACAACCATTCACACTCACATTCACACGGACAATTTAGAGTTACCAATTAACCTGCATGTCTTTGGACTGTGGGAGGAAGCTGGAGTACCCAGAGAAAACCCACACTGACACGGACATAACATGCCAACTCCGTACAGAAGGGCTCCCCCACCCTGGGGTCCGAACCCTCCACCTCAGGCTTGAACCTGGAACCCTCTTGCTGAGGGGCGACAATGCTAACCACTGCACCACCGTGCTGCCCTTTCGCCATTCCACCATTCTGAGTCTCTTTGTACAGTAGTGAGAGGTCAACGCAGCACGGTGACACAATAAAGAAACGTCTTCCATAATTAACACATATGGTTTTAATAGAGTATGGGAGCGGGGGACTCATTAAAGGTCTGAGTTTCGATGAGTCATGTGATTTTTAGTGCTCACTGGACACTCATCAACCTTATTAATGGTTTCAAATCTGCTTTCACCTTGCCGTAACAACACAACCTGTCTCTGTTCCCTCTTCCTCCTAACTACAGAGTGTTTCACTTTTACATACTAACTACCTAATTTACTGCAACACTTGGGATCCAAATTTGCTCACTGCAATACAGCATCTCAGGCAGCAGCGACAGTTTAGTATGTTGGGCAAAACATCATCTCTCTTAATATGAATTTCACAGCAGCGAGTGTCAGAGCGAAGACGAGAGAAAACAAACAGTTGCAGATGAGACTTCATAAACCGACGGGGCTTGTAAATGTTTGTGTGGGACTTGTTATCCCTGAAATAGATTTCTACATCATGTCACCCAGAGTGCATGCTCTGACACTTTGTTCTCTCAGCTGCAAATTTAAGACCCTGTGTGCTTTGCCTTTGTGTACTCTGACCTTGTGTTGCTTTGTCTTCCTCTGCAGGGTCGTCTGCTGAACCTCAGCTGTTCCACTGTGCCCACTTTCGTCCTCTCCATCACCGCCACCACCCAAGTAAAAACAGCAGATGCATTTCTGTCCAATTTACAATGTTGCACATGATTAGTTTTGTATTTTACATTTTGTGCTCTGCTCTCACTTCATTTCTTTTCATCACTAACAAAGATGTTAACACAAGCAGTTGTTTGTGCATGAGTGTGAGTTAACACTTGTGTGTCTGTGCCCAGGCGCTGGCTCTGATAGAGCTGTACAATGCCCCAGAGGGACGCTACAAACAGGATGTTTACCTGCTACCCAAGAAGATGGGTAAGATTTCTGTCAGTTTGGATTTTAAGAAAATAAAACTGCCGAATGCATGAATACAAAAACACAAATATGAGTAGAAATGCCAGTTTTATAACACAAACACAGCAAGATATCAGGCCAGGGAGACACAAAATAAGCTTGTTTGGTGCTTAAGTAGCCACCAAGCAGGAAGTGATAACAGAGTTTATTTTTGCCCCGACAGAGAGCCTGCAGGCATATTGCATTTATCTCAATAGACAACACAATCCGTCTCATCTGTTCAGTCCAGAGTCGTCTCCCTGGATAGCTTATCATTCACAGTAGAATGAGCCCTGTATGTGTGTGTATGTGTGCGTGCGTGCGTGCACGCGCGCGCACAGCCCACAGCATGTCAGCAGCGTTGCCCGTCACATTTCCTGGCGTTCTCTCGGTGGGTTAGAGCGGAGCAGATACATGTAAAGAGAAACAGGGAGCCAAATGTAGGTCACTCTGTCAGTGAGTGCTACCACAGCACGCACTGACAGAAAGATGATGGAGAGGAAGGAGGGAGGGATGAAAGAAAGGGCTGAGATGAGGAGAGAGGGAAGTAGGGACACAAAGAAGAATGAGGAGTGGAAAGCAGATGAGGAGAAAGAGAAAGAGGAAGAGTGAAGAAAAGAAATGGAGGGACGGTTAATCTGGGAGCCTCCCTCTTCCTTTTCCCATTTGAATGATTAATCAAGCACAGGCGCCTGATGAATGCTAACGTGTCCCTCCTCTCTTCTGCCAGATGAGTATGTGGCCAGCCTACATCTCCCTACGTTTGACGCACATCTCACAGAGCTGAGTGACGAGCAGGCCAAGTATCTGGGCTTGAACAAGAATGGGCCCTTCAAGCCAAACTACTATAGGTATGGAAACACTTAAACATGACATTCTTGTTTCGACAGGCCTGTAGGTGGTTCAAGACGTAATCTTTTGAAAGGAAGAAACTGTGAAGTTCTTAACTCATTATGATTAGAAACCTTCTTAAAATAATGACTTAGTTTCTCAAAATAGGGAATTATTTTCGCAAAATCATAACTAACTTACCCCAAAAATAATGACTTACTTGTCTTGAAATGACTTTTGAATCTTAAAATAATGACTTATCTTGAAATGACTAACCTAGCCCATAATAATGACTTACCTATCTCAAAATGAATTACCTATCTCAAAAAAAATAATAATAATAAAAAAAAAACCTTACCTCAAAATAATGGCTTATCTTGAAAGTACATAACCTATCAAAATGACTTACTTATCTCAAAATGACATACTTATCTAGAAATGACTTACCTATCTCAAAATTACATCTAAATTATCTCAAAATAATGTCTTATCTAGAAATTACTTACCTATCTCAAAATAACAACTCACTTATCTAAAAAAAAAAAAAAAAAAAAATAATTTACGGTACTTCAAAATAATGACTTATCTTGAAAGTACTTACCTATCAAAATGTCTTATCTTAAAAATCTCGAAAGTACTTACCTATCAAAATGACTTACTTATCTCGAAATGACTTACTTATCAAAATGACTTATCTTAAAATAATGACTTACTTATCTCAAAATGACATAGTTATCTAGACACGACTTGCCTATCTCAAAATTATATCTAAATTATCTCAAAATAATGACTTGCTTATCTTGAAATAATGACTTACTGACTTAAAATTATTTTCCTCAAAATAATGACTTATCTCTAAAATACTTACCTTTCAAAATGACGTACTTATCTCGAACTGACTTACCTATCTCTAAATAACATCTACCTTATTTCAAAATGACTAACTTAACTCGAAATGACTTACCAATCAAAATAATGACACACTCATCTTAAAATATTGACTTATCTCAAAACAGACTTCATATCTCAAAAAAAAAGACTCTTTTATCTCAAAATGAGGACTTACATATCTCATAATGACTTTTTTATGGCAAAATAATGACTAATTGCAAAATTATGAGACACTGTCAAACTAATGACTTACTCTTTATTTTGGTGAGATAAGTAAGCTGTTATTTTGAGATACTAAGTCATTATTTTAAGATACTTAGTATCTCAAATTGATTCAGTACTTATAACTAACTTATCTCAAAATAAGAACTTTAGTATGTCATAATTATTATTTAATATCTCAAAAATGTCATTATTTGCAGTAAGTCATTATTTTGAGATACAAAGTCATTATTTTAAGAAAGTCTTCATTGTAATGACTCACTTTTTTCATCACTTTTGCAGATATGGGCTTCCATAGAGTCCTATAGGTATAGGGTTAGGATTTGTTTTTAGGTTGCAGCAGCACCTTTAGTATTTACAGCAACTGTCATCCTAACGTGTGCTTTCTCTTTTTCTCCATCAGGTATTAAACCAGTGTCGGGGTTGGACTGCAGATAATACTCCATGAATGGCACAGACTCAAAGAGGGAGAGGAGGAGGGTGAGGGTGAGGAGAAGAGAAGGAAGGACGGACGGACAGAACAGTCAACACACCTGCTTTATATTCGGGGGGGGGGTAGGGGAGGAGCTCTAATTGAGCCTGAGGGGAAAGGGGAAGGGGGTGGAGGGGCGTGGCTCCTTCTGCGCTTATGGCAGCCATTTTATTTATTCATGCTCTACAACAATAATTGTAACATTAATTCTAACTCTGTGGAGCTGCTCCTGCCATTCGCCATTAGCTAGCTCCCTGACATCTTCTCCTGGAAGATATTTTACTTCCCTTCCACTCGTCATTTCACCACCATTATCTCTTTCTCTTTAGACGCTCATTTGTGTGTGTAAATCCTCCATCCTCCCTTCCCATTGCCAGATCTTTTATTGTTTAACTATTAAAGATGAAATTATTGATGCTAAAAAGATATATACTATATAAAAAAACTTGATTAAAAAAATCTGTGTGAATGAAGATTACCGTTGAAGATTTAGTGACGGACACTTTTTCCTGTCCTTTTTTTTTCCGCCGTTGTCTTTTCTTTTCTACCTGTGATTATGTTTTTCTCTTGTGTAATATTGTGAGGGCGGGGTTAGACGTAGTGGGCGGGGATTAGGCGGGATCTCAGGGTCCAATCATATCATGTCTTTTATTTGATCGTTTCATTGAGATTCACCGTTGTGTCTGTTTTTAAACTCTTTTTTTTTTTTTACGCGTTCTGTCCCTTCAGATCAGCCTGTAGTTTGTCATCACTTTTCTCGTAGTACGACTGGACAGTGATCGGGTCTTCCCACCTGTCACTCAAAGCCACAGTGAAACCATCTCATTGGCTGCTGCATTCTCGGCTTCCAGCTGCTCACATGGCGCCAGTGTTGAAGTAATGAAAAGTATTTCAAGCTTGTGAGAGCTAACCTTTTCATTTTGTCTCTTTTTCCTTTGCCAAGAATGACTATACTGTATTAGAAGCATGGCACGTTATCAGATCATCAAAAGGGGTATACTGTATATTTAGATATTTATATTGAAATTAAGATTTTCTATCTTTTTTTCTCCTGCGCCATCTAATATCATTACTTTCCGGGGGGGAAAAATCAACATATGTCATAAAGATAAGCAATTAAATGTTCTAATGATAAGTGTAATAAATGTACTTTAACCCTCACTTTGAATACTGTGACAGAACATATTTACAGAGATACCAAATGAGCAGCAAGTCGCTGCCTGGCCGGTACTTAAACAGATATCTTCAATCAGGTCCTCATTGAAAAGTATGGTGCTGTTAAGATTTACTGTACTTACCATACACACCACAGCTCTTTGGTACTCACAGATACTGTATAGTCAGGGGGTTCATCTTAAAAAATAAAATCTGGGCTCTGAATTCCACTGATTTATTTTTTTTCTATCCAAGAAGCACATTTATACGGAGCCCTCAAAGGCCCAAACAATGATATTTCTTTATCTCTTTCTGGACTTTAGGGGCTCCGTACATCTACCGTCTGTAAAGGGATTTTTCACCTTTTTAAATCCAAACTTAGCGTGCTATCTCTGATATATTTTAGCTTCTTCTTCCCCACCTGACAGACTTTAGATTCCACCAGTACAATGAGCTGCGCAGTCACCATCCCCGGCAGCTCGTCCCCAGCTGACCTGACGCTGGAAATTACAAAGTCCTGACAGTCATTTCGCCTGACAGCCAAGTGCACCCTGCTGCTATACTGGCTCTGCACCTGAACCAATCAGATTCTCTGCTAACCTGCTGGGAGACGCTGCCAGCTCTGCTCTCACAAAGAGGGATCAAATGCTCTGACACACACACATACAGAAGCTCATTATCCAGGCCTGAAAATTAACTGTGCTGTATGTGGAAAATAAATAACATCATTAGCTGATTTTTGAACAAGAGGAAATAGCACAAAACGCTCTGTTTGCCAGTTAATACCTACAAATATGCACAATCCATGCAATTTTGCTGTGTGACTTTATGAGTAACATCATTACGTAACATTAAAAACCAACCAAAGTGTTCAGAGGAATGTTTCAACATTTCGGTAAATATCTGTATTTGCTTTTATGTTGGTAGAAAAAAGATAAAGAATCAAAAACAAAATCCAACATCCAGCACCTCTAAAGCCAGGTTTTTGTACACCTGAAACAAAATGGACAACATTAGTTAGTGAGCTTTAAAGGTGCAGGTAGGTAGATTTTGTTACCTTTAGACAGAGCCAGGCTAGCTGTTTCCCCCCTGCTTCCAGTCTTTATAAGTCCCTCCAGGATTTTGTGCGCTGTTTTAGTGATTGTTGCAGCCAGAGATGCCTCATTTCACGCCAGGTTTCCGAAAAAAAAAAAAAAATGAAGCATGTTTTGATGTTTATAGGCGTTTTTTGCAATGAAATTTCAGGGGCAAGTTAAAATTTGCAAAAATAGTTTGATGCTGTCTCAGATTCTGAGCAAATTATTATGAACATTCAGTGTTTCCCATTGCAATAGAATCTGTTTGTAAAGGTAGGAGGAGTTGGGGGGGCAGTAAGAGCTGATTGCTGATCAGCTCTTACTGCTGTTCGATGCATGGCTGAAGGACTGTACCTGTAAAGGTCTTTCCCTCTGCTGTCTCTGCCCGCTTAACACAAGCTATTACTTGTCACATTCTGCTGCTTGCAGCAATGGTTAACATCCGACACCAAGCTGTTAATCGCACACCAAAACTGCTCAACTCTGTCGTTAAACCTGTTCATGACCGTTGGGCAACTTTAGCTGTGTAATGCTAACAGTTAACCCTGTCACTGCAGCAGCAGCCTCATGATTAACAGAGAGAGCGATAGAGGGGCTGAGTGAATCAATATATTACGCACTTCTCCAATGAAAAGAGATTTCACTAGTTTTACACTGATCGATCACAACATCGCAAAATCCTGGAGGGACCACTATATGCCAAGCTAAGCTAATTGGCGCCTGTTTAGCGTACATACACGAGAGGGAGATTGACCTTTTCGTGTATGTCTCGACAAGAAAGTGAATGATGTTATTTCCCAAAATGTCAAAATATTCCTTTTAAATTGGCGAAAGCAAATGAAAGTCTAAATAAATTGAAACTTTAAAGGTGCGTAGGAACCTCTCAGACAAACCTAGCATTCACCGATGTAGGCTACCACCATGTAACGACAAGATCCTACACTGTGTCACAGCCCATACAAACCTCAGTGTCACTTTGTTCCCTGCAGATGTTTGTGCATTTCTGTCTCCTTGTGCTGTTGAGAATCCCCTCTTAAAGTAGTGTGACCTGTCGTCAGTGTAGCCCTGTTGTCTCGAGTCTTACTTTTCCCCTTTTGTGAGTGTGAGTGTGTGTTTAAGTGTGCGACCGCTTGAGAGGAAGCTGACTTTAGATGATGACGTGCGTAAGTCTAAACGTCTTTCTGTGTCTGTACACATCCTTTTTTTGTTGGCCATGGTTGCTTCGTGAACAGCTGCCTCAGGATCCTAGCCTGTGCGTCAGGGGGACAAACCATTTTTTGTTTTGTTTGTCAGCCGTAAGCTGACCAACAGACGGGTGGGCGGGGGAAGACACCAGCATCATATATGTATATACATACTATATACAGATATGAAAACCTTTAAAATTATAGGAAGGTAAAAGAAGAATCCACTCCTGTATTTATTGTTGTAAATCCTCATACAGTGCAAACTGGCAAAATTCTCAAACATGTTTTAAGTTGTCTAATAAAGAAAAAAACACCCTATGTTTAAAATATTGCAAGTGATAATGGTAGATGATGAGCAATAATTTAAAACATTCTGTAATCTTAATGAATAAAGATGTAAAAATTGTAACCACCGTGTGCGCACCTCTTTGATTCGACTCCTTTCTAACACATAATCACCCTCTTATGTAGGTGTTTGATGTGTGTTGTTTCTCGGTGGTTGTGTTTATGTGTGTTGGGGAAAGGGGAGCCAGTGTGTGCAGCTGCTGAGGTCTGTCAGAGCCACAGTGAACTCATCTGAGCCAGCAGCAAACAGACAGGGACATCTCTGGCATCAACAGCTGGCTGCGAGCCTTTATTTATTCCTGACACAAACCAACACCACAGGGTTAGATGGGTAGTCTGACGCATATAGAATAAGACATCATTATGTCATTTATAACAGTCCAAACTGTGATTCAGATATTTATAGATGTCAGCATGTATTCCCTTTCAGCTTTGTTATGTTTCTTACCTTTTTAAAACTCAAATGACACAAGGAACAGCTTGACAGAAACTACTTTTGAGGTACGAATAAAAGATTCATAGCAAGAATGCTGGATTTTAAGGATATATAAAACACAAGTCCAATGTCCATGTCATGTCAAGCACAAATGTGCCTGTGAAAGTAATCGTATGATGTCCAGTGTAGATGTGGAGGAGCTATCTTGAGTCTAGTCAGACTCACTGACTGTAGACTGGCTATAAACCTGAGAACGCCCCTGGAATGAGTCCTAAAACCCAGAAATAGGTTTGGTTAGACGCCTGAAATAAGGTCCGTGGTCAACACAAGGTTAAGAGACTTTCACATTTTGTTCTAAGACATAAAACGTGTCAGTAAATACCCAACTCGTGAACTTTGAAGCTTCTAAGAGGTGATTGCTACCAAGAGGCTAAATGAGACTACCGAACACAGCCTGTTTGGTCGGTCTTTTCAAGGTGGTGACAATAGTGCATGCAACCGTGGTGTAGTTCGTTTGTAGCCTGACGTTACCTTCTTAACTCTGGCGATTGCATTTAGGCTTCAGTAATCATGAAAGTGGTGTTCATTTGTGAGAATGATCAAAGTTTCATCAATGTTCGCCACAGAGCTTATTTTCGGCAATAATCTAAAATCAAATGGAAAAATCCCATCGCCTATTTGATGAGGGAACCAGTGCGATGCTAACTTTAGTGCTGGCCAACAGAAAAACGTCATCCCTGAGGCACTCTGTCGGGTGGTTATTTCGGGTGACAGTCTGCCGCCATTACGCTATCTGCATGTTACTGTTAAAAATCCTCTTTCAACAAGCTCCAAGCTAACAACCTAGACGTTGAAAATGACAATTTCTGATGAACATTTGGATCATGCAACAAGGCAGCCTGCTCTGTCCTTAGGTGAATTGTTGTGAAGGTCTACAAAGAATAAAACAACTTGTGAACGCACCTTGGAAAAGCCCGAACTTTGTGTCACTGGACTCTTGTGCCCGATGTTGATCTGTTGTCTGACACGATCAGTATGAGTTGTTCTGCCCCGTTTTAACTCTGGCAGCGACGTGCCAGTGACGTTGATCCGATCTGTTCCACTTCGCAGAGCATCTGTCATGTTCTAATAATGTTCTGGAAGAGCCACATACAGCTAGCAGATCTTCGGGCTCAGTGAGCCCCTCCAGAGCTAAAGTATGGTCAGGCCTCCCTTGTAGGCCTCCGATTATCATGCAACGTATGTCTATTGCTGTTTTTTGTGGCGTTTTCTTTTGTGGATAGTTAGCGCTTCCCACATGCAATTGTTCCACCAAAACACTCATCACCTGACTCTATTTTGCAAGGGCACCATTGCTGTGTCACTGGGCTTAGCGCTGGCCAAGATGATTGTGATTGGTTTAAAAAAGTAAAAACAAGCCAGGGTGTTTTCCCCTGTATGTGTGCTTCCAGACCTTTCTCTAGCGCTCACACGGAGCTGTGGAGATCGGAGAGACTATCTCAAATCTGAGAAAATAACCATGATGGTGTCACCAGGGTTATTTTAGCTTGCGCTTGGAGACTACAGATTTAGAATGGAAAACCTGTGCCAGAAACTGAAGGGCATGGAGTTGAAAAGCTGTGGCCATTATGGGAATTGTAGGATCCAGTGTCTTTGGATCTTGACCCATAGTGGGACTAAACCTCAGTATATCTTGGCCCCTCCTGCTTTCATTTCGATCACCCCAATTGGAAATGAACCACTAAATTGCTGAAATACTCCTTTAAATTAAAAATAAGTGCATTAATTTGCCATCTTTTTCATGTGATAGTAGTTTAAAAATAGTGTTGTTTGTGCAAAATCCCTTAAGCTGTATTGTTAATGGTGGCTTTGTACGGTACCTCAAAATGAACATCATCCCCAAACAAACTGCAATAATAACATTTTCAGCAATCTAACTAATTCCTTTGAATATAGCTTTTCTCCTCTCTTGATGTCCTATTAATTTACATTTTTTAATTATTGTGCAGTCTCTATGGGTCTGTAGCTTTGTCAGGCTGGAGTCTACACTGATTCAACCAGCGGTTAATAATTATTTAATCATGAACTTGATTAACTTGATCATGAACTTGACCCCCCCCCCCCCCCCCACACACACACACACACACACACATCCACCCCGCTGCCCTGCCATGTGGTCACGTTCCACCAGAAGCCTGTGCCCACATTCAGCTGTACAATCCAATCATGTCATCTTAAGTGGTTTTTCACAGTTGGGGTTTGTGTGTGTTGGTAGGTTGGAGCATAGGGTGACCTACACACCAACCCCCACATCCACATATCAATAATTCACTTGCTTCTCTGTGGGGAGGGTGACAGGAGATGAAGTGGCTGCTGGAGGGTGCGGCACCTCCACCTCCATCAACATTTAACCCAGTGGAGTCACAAATTAAGAGGCAGACGCATGAACTGATCTGAAACCCCTGACAGCAGATTGTATTAATAGAGATTTTATCAGCAGGGAGGACATCTTCTTTATGTTCATTTAGTTTGACAGCTGGTGGGAAACATCATCCATCAGCCAAAGCTGGTAAAATTTGGTGGGTGATATATTTCTGCCAGTATCTGAAGCAGCTAATGTTACCCCAATGTCCTGCCCTGCGAAGTCAAAACACAGTAAGTAGGTTAAGACCACAATTTGACTTTTTGACATTTGTTTTAGCAAATTATAAGTAAAAAAAGGGCAGTTTTTTGGGGGGAAAAACAGCATGTAAAATTAGCAAGAACAACAAATCCAAACCACAGTGAATGCACTACGGCTAGTTAAGGTTAGCTAGTGACACAGCCTTAGCTAGACTGCTACTTAGCTAGGCAAAGCTAATTTACCTACATTTTCAATGTTTTTTCTTCAACGTAAAGGTAATTGAATTTAGACTACAATATAAGTAAAGGGACACCTAAATGTAATCTCAATGGAGGAAAAAAAGACAGTTAAGCTAGTCTCACAAAGGCTAGCTTAGCAACATAGCAGTAGGCTAAGGTGCTAAGGCTAGCTTAGCAACATAGCCATAGGTTAAGTTGCTAAGGCTAGCATAGCAGCATAGCAGTAGGCTAACTGTCGTCTCAGCCTCTGCCCTGCTGGGGTTAAGCTACATTTTAATCACATTTTAAAATGTATTAATCTATAGATTAATTTAAGGCATTAAATTACCAGCTTACAACCTACATCTCAAAAACACAACCAGCTGACAGACTAAAATAATTTCTGTCTTGTTTATATGTTATTAAGGGCTAAGCTTAGTGAGTTCTCAACCAACAGACTGTACTGGGGAGCAAGTTGTGGTGTTTTTCCAAACTTATTCTCAGTGCCGAGCCAGGACATCCCACAGTACTTAACAGAGAGCACTGATCTGTCTGATGTTGCCCTGACAGCTTTAACCTTGTAATACCCAAGATTTTTGTGCAATAAATTCCTGGATTCTTAAATTTTCTAGCTATAGCAAGTCAATGTATTTACATTGTTGTTAACTTTTATAAAAATAGCTTTTGTCATAGCCTATAAAACTGTCACTACATTCACACAGTAGTACATGACACAAAATCATGTTTCTCCTCCTCATAGTGCTACTAATGGCATTCGCAAGAAACCACAGCGACTGAAGGAAAACAACCACTCAGAGCTGAGGAGTCTCTACCGAAGCTATTGTGTCAATGACTGCTCGTTAACTGCCATCAAACTGAACTGTTCACCTGTAAGATAACAAAGTTTGCTCCGCCCAGTGAACGGTGCTTTGTTTCAGCTCGACTATTTCCAACATGGCAGCTGGGTCACAAACATTCTCATATTACAGCTAAACAGTACACTAAAATAAGTGTCTGAAAACATCTGAGGCGAGAAACAAGCAATGCAGTAATACAGTCAGTTTGTGCAATTCATGAGCAGTGATTGACATGTTTACAGCTGTGCTTAGAGACTCTTTAGCTTTGACTGGTTATTTTTGTTCATTCATTTTCCATAACCACTTATCCTGTTAGGGGTCGGGGGGCTGGAGCCTATCCCAGCTGACATTGGGCGAGAGGTGGGGTACACCCTGGACAGGTCGCCAGACTATCACAGTACTGACACATAGAGACAGACAACCATTCACACTCACATTCACACCTACAGACAATTAAGAGTCATCAATTAACCTGCATGTCTTTGGACTGTGGGAGGAAGCTGGAGTACTTGGAGAAAACCCACGCTGACATGGGGAGAACATGCAAACTCTGCACAGAAGGATTCCCCCACTCTGGGTACAAACCAGGAACCCTCTTGCTGTGAGGCGACAATGCTAACCACTGCACTACTGTGCCGCTGGTTGTTTTTGTGAGTTTTGGAATTAGAAACACTAAGGCAAAGTACCTGCCTCATGTGCTACTGTGTGGATATTGTGACAGATTCAGCAAATATGACAAAAAGCTATTTTTATTAATGTTACTAATAACAGATTTAACTCTCTGTAGCTGTCAGTGTTAGTGGCAAAGTCCACCATTAACATAATTACCATCACTCCCACATAGAAGAGATTTACAGGAAACTATACATGTATGAAGGCCACTGCATTACGTTTTGTAATTTTACCCTTCTGATATCAGCACTATTTTGA